GCAGCAAGCTTTGAACCCTAGGAAGCAAAGACAGACCCCAGGCTGCAAAGAGCAATAGGAGATTGCAGTGATGATTTGCACGAGGCGTGCTGCAGTTAACCTTCAACCTACAGGGAGAAAAAGAAGGAGGACAAAGTCCTGGTGACCTGCTTGCACCAGCAGTTGCAACACTGGATGCAGCTGCGTGGCAGCTTTTCTCATGTAATGCTGCAACCAGAAGGAGCATTTACTTATCCCATCTTCCACTGGCTGTGGTGTTTAATATCCCACACAGTGCACTGCCAGGCCAACAGAGAGCTGCCAGCCCAGTGACTGCATGGCTCTCTCAATTATTATGTGTAGCAATTAGAAATTCACACTAGTTTTGAGGAGCCCCCAAACCTTCATCTTTCGCAATCCGAATTTGCAGCCATTTCTCTGAAATCTGCATCAGCCCTGCTTGAAACAGCATCCAATGGGACAAAGCAAGCAGCGGGGCCTCTTGCCATGGCCAAGGCAGCAGGGACAAACCTTTTGCCTTGCTCAAACCCTAACCTTAAACCCTAGACCCTAAACCCCATCCCTAACACCTCTGCCTAAACTCTAATCCTAACCCTAATCCCAAATGTAACCCTAATCCCTAACTCTGACCCTATCCCTAAACCCCAAACCTAACCCAGCATAGCACAGGGATAGCAGTGCCTGTTTGCAGCCCTCAGGAGTGTTTCTTTACAGCAGATATTCAAGGGACTGCTTCTTTTTGCTGGCCTGGAGCTGAGCATCCCACAGTTAATTGCTGAACCGGGTACCCTACACAAATGCTTTGCCCCAACTAAGAACCACGGAACCAAGTGGAATTAGCCTGAATCAAGTGTATGAGGAGTTGGAGTGCCAGCAGTGCACCCAAAGCACCACTTCCTTTAAATTGCTTTACGTAGTGCTTCCAGATGTGGAAAAAAACAAGTGGAAGTTGCCACTCACTGATGTTTTCACATCTGCTGGTTGAAGTGGCTGCTGCTGGTAATGAATTAGTGCTGGCGATGTGGCAGAGGGATGCTCTGCAGGGCTCCGTTGCAACAGAGGTTTTCTGTGTCATTTTTGCCCTTTTTTTCCATCTGCTTGGGAACAAAACCAGCTGCTCAGCCCCGCTCAGATCTCAAAGTGCTCCTTCACACACGGCCCCTCTGATTGCTTTTGTTCAGAAACAGTGAGGGCCACAAAGCTTCAAATCACTGTAGTATCTGACTATCTTCAGGGGGGAATTTATCTTGCTGGGAGGACAATTCTCCACTCACACAATAGCTCTGTGATTGCCATCCACAGAGTTTGCTCCCTCTCCCAAACCTGAAAAGGAGACATTCGCTAGCATTTAATCTCCCTATTTACACGTGCAATCAGAAGCTGTAAAGGGAAAAGACACACTCCAAACCCTGCTTTGGAAGTCATGTCCTGGCCTCAGAGGTAAAATAATAAGAAAAAAAAATAGCAAATTAAATAAAAGTCAAAGCTGCAAGCGGTTGCCTGTTTGCTTTTCACATCTTGGCACTGCTTACGCTTGGAAACAGCACATAGATCAATAAATATATCTGTATTTATACATGTTTATATATATACACACACATATATGGATACATATAACTTGAGAAGTCCAGAAGAGTGAACACAGCAGCTGATCCTGTAAACCCAAAGACTGCAGACCCAAAGTCAAATCCTGCCCTGTGTGACAAGGCAGAAAAAGAGGGACCCAAAAGGCTCCCCAAAAGAAGGGAGGCAAGTTGGATTTCTGCTCCTACTTCAGCTTTTGTTTCTCTCTTGCATTGCATAGAACAAATGCAAATGTTCATGCATTGCAATGAACAAATGGCTTATCCCAGTGCAAGAGATGCAGGGAGCAGCCTGACCCATGGCATTTCCAGACCTTACACCAAACCCACCCAGCTCCCACAGCCATCTTGCTGAGTGAGAGCAATGCTGATTTTAGAATCAATTTGCTAAACCTTTCGTTCTGAACTTGCTGAGAACAGAAGCAGGCTGTCTTTATCAGACAGCTTCCGATTATTCAAGCCTGGAACAGCAAATGAAAACTTGCTGCTGAAGCAGAAGCTTCCAACCCACTTTTAAGTGCAAGTCTTCCCAACACGTTGGCCAACCCTGGACCCCTCCATGGTGCATGGAATTGTGTGTTAGTGTTTCTATTCAGGTGCAAGCTGACGGGTTTTCGTGGGGCACAGAAATATTTTCTCCTAAATAGAGAGGAACTTACTGCTCTCTGAATGAGCAAGGCATATTTTTAGATGTAGAGGCAATTCCGTTTTTATCAGTGATTTTAAGTTCAGAGCAATATTTTTGCTCATCACTGTGAGTGTGTGGTCCCAGGAAATGGCAGGTACGAGTGTTCAAGCCAGCTACAGCACATCTCCACGTGTCTCTTTGGGGATCATGCACTGAGTTTCCATAATCATCAATACACACCATTTTATTCTGTCTTATTGTACATTCTCCAGGGTCTGCCCTGAGCCTGCTTTTGGAGCTCAGGGTCGACCTCCCTTCCCTGTGGTCCCTGCATCATCAAATTCCCACCCGAGGTCAATTGATTGCAAAGTTCACTAAGGAATAATGTGAATAATGTCTTTTCAAGGCTCTGCCTGGAGAAATGTGGGAAAGGTATGAAACCATTTCTGCAAAAGGAAAGAAGGAAAGCGACCCTGAATGGGTTGGTGCATGGGAGACCACGTCCTCTCTGAATGCAACCAAGGAAGAATTGAAAGGAGCCTTTCCAAATTCAGCAGCTGTAAACTTCCTACAGATTCATGGCCTGAGCACTCACTTCTGAATGATGGATAGAAACACTGATGCACAATTCCAACATAAAAACAATGGAGAGTTCCAGGGCTGCCAACATGTTTTGCTGATATGAGCTGATGAAAGCACAAGAAGGCATTAATTCAGTGCCACAAAACCATGCTAACATCAGTGGTCTTTCCAGTCTCACTAGGGAAGTGTTGTAAGCTAATGGTATGAAGAGCTTCTGCTGGGTAAAGTGCACCTCCACTGGGAAAGCCTGCTGTCACCTTATCTTCTTTGTGCTGATGCTCATCAAGCTGAATAGATCTGTAGAGGAAACAGCGTTTCAGCTCAAAGGCAGGGAACTAGGCTTGATTCATTACCAGAAACATCACTTCCCCTATTTGCTGCTAGAAAAGGGATCGTTGATGTCACTGTGGGCCATTTGTGCCACTCTGCAGCCAACAACAGTTGACCAAGGAGCCTTGAGTAACCCCAAAAAAACCAAAATCACAATGCATTTCAACGCACAAAGTCAACATCCCCCTTCTTACATCCTAGCCAAAAGAGCTGCAAGGGTTGTTGTGCTTGATAACTTGCACATGCTTTGCTTTATTTATTCCACACAGCAGGCGTGAAGCTGGTTATATCTAAAGGGAGACAAAAGCAACCCAAATGGGCAGGATTACTTTTTTCTCAGCTGTGCCACTACAGAATTGATTTGACTGACAAGCTGTGAAATGCAGTTAATGAGCTTGGGTTTCTGTTGGCCCCCGTTGCTACAAGGATGACAGTTCCTACCCTCTGATGTGTCAATTTCCCACTTCTAAAGTCAGCCAAAGAAAAAGAGTATTAGCCGTGAAACTTAAGGAAGTATTAGCAGAGAAAGGAAGATATTATCAGAAATTTGAAGTAATTATCCTTCTTTGGAATAATCCTCGATAGGATGAACACAATGCCATGTGGTGAAAAGTGAGATGGAGGAAAAAAGAAGATGTAATTTACTCGACAAGCAACAGAACTTCAGCTTTGGCAGAAAAATGTCATCTGGGTTTATGGCATAAAGAAACACAGAGCTTTTCCTGTTGTTTGGGTGGACAGCAAAAAGAGGGTTATGTTCTGGAGATATAAGTCAGCCCAGGGATAACACGGAATTCACAAAGAAAGATAAAATTAATTTGATAGGGAATTAATTGAAAACTGTGATTATTTTTAGCAAGCAAGCTATTGGTGCTACTTAAATACCACAGTTTAAATACCTGGATAGGACTGGGCTGGCCACTAATTTAGAGACTCCTTCAAACACAGGTCAGGAGGTGACTCGTCCAGAGCTCTCCAGCAGAGCACACGATATCACACTGCAACAGGGAGCAGCTTCCATCCCAGCCCCCCTCCTCAATGCAGTGCAAACCACCACCGACCACACGTGGCATGAAACAAGATGTATTGGAAAGCAAGGATATTTTCAGCCAGTAACACGGGAGCAAAGACAATACAGGCTTCCTGATCAGTATTAATTTGAGATGCAAATGCTGAGCAATTTTTAAAAGCAATATTGCAAGGCAGTGGAAGGGAGTGCTAGCTTCCCAGTGTTTGATTTTAATAAGCGAATCAGCTCAAATCAGTGGGAGGGGAGGCTGTTATGGGGGTCATTAGCATGCAAGGCACACACACACCAGCAGGAAGGCTCTGTAGACCAGCACAGAATATTCATCCAAAGCATCTTCCTCACTGAGAGAGCATTGGTCACAGCTGAAAAACCAACTGAGCTGTCACCGAGTTTGTCAGTGGACGCCAGCCTGGGCTGAGCATGATGGATGAGCTACGTCCCCATTTGCAGGCATTTGCTTGTAACATAGCTTATAAACTCCTGCAGCCTCCAGCTCCTTGCTGGGGTCTTGTACCAGATCTGCAGGTTGGTGGCTCTGCCTGTAGCAGGGGGGTTGGAACTCGATGATCCTTGGAGCCCCTTCCAATCCAAGCCATTCTATGATTCTGCTGGCGTTCTTGCTGCCCCAAGAGGAAGGCAGCAGCTTCCCAACGATGTGGATAACTGGCTGCCAGCTCTGCAATCTGTACACGTAACTTTTCCCCATTACTGTCCACTGGCTTCACGGCTGAGCTAAAAGCATCGAGGGGCACACCCTTACTGTAATTCATGGTAGTGACTCATTAGGATACGTTAATTTCCCTCCTTGAAACCAACCAGACCGACCCGGCAGCAGCGCCAGCCTTACTATCTTCAGAAGTGTCCGGTTGTCCCTGAGGCTCCCCACCATGCCGACGAAGGAGACGCTGAACATGGTGAAGCCCAGCAGAAGCAGGATGATGGCTGGAGCGAGGAACATCCCTTCCAAGGTTTTGTGCTTCTGCCTCTCCACTTCGGCATAAATCCCAATGCACAGGATCACGAGGCCGATGATCTACGAGGAAAGTGTGAGATGTGCATCAGATGCCAAAGGGAAAAAATCAGAAACTCTGAGGAAAAGGTGGAGGTGGAAGAGATCCCAGAGGAAGAAAAATGTCCAGTGTACTGCTAGATAAAAACATAACATGATGAGTGAGCTGATGGGTCAGACCCAAAGGGTGACTGATAGAAAATGGGGTTCCATCAGGGTTCCATCTCCCTCCATGGCAGCCCTACATCTCCCTCACAAAGGAGCTGCATTTTGCAAGGTTCTTCCTTTCCCCATCTCACCCAATGCACCTGGCTGCTCAAGCTGACCCTTGCCCTGGGTTCACAGACCCTGGGCTGTATACAGCAATACTGCCAGCCCATCCACCCGAACTGCCACCCATAGACCAGTCCCCCAAATTACTCATTTCACTCCAGCACCTCCTTCAAGCACCACCTTGTACCAAAACCCATAGCAAGCCACTCGGTCTTTGTGCCATGGATGAAAAACATCATCAAATGTAGCAACAGATTATTTATGACCATCTTCCACCCCTCTCTCCAATAAAACAGCCCTAATTGAAAAAGAGAGCCCAAGGGTGCCAGGATAAAACAGGGCTCTGAAAAGGGCTATTTTCATCTCCTTGGTTCCTACAGATGAAAGCCAACACGGAGATTCCAAGCACTCGGAGCTGTCAGAAGCCATTCCCAGCACAACCAGCATGAAGCTGACTCCTGGAAAGGTCAGAGTGGAAAGGAAGGAGCATCCCAAGTGATTTTCCTGCTGCTTTTTGCAGCTCCACCATCCTGCATCTCAGTAAGAAAATACTGCAGGAAAGCCTCAGGTCAACAAGGAGAAAACCTCTTCTTCTCACTCCTTTTTCCATTGCTTTACCTTTCCAAGAGGCTCCATTTCTCCTTAATGAGTTCACTCAAACCCTTCTGGTTAATTTGTGTTGCCGATTCAATCCTTAATTTTCCTGCACAATCCTTTTGGAGGAATGATTTATTTTCTTCTCTACTCTGGCTGGACTCCATTTGTGGAGTTACTGTACTCAGTTTATGTTTAGCCATCCCTGTCCACTCCCAGGCTACATCTCACTTACAGAGAAACTGAAATCGCCCAGAAAGTCAAGTCCAGATCTGTGATATTTGCAGACTGTTCAGCTGCAAATATCTAAACAGGTGGGCCTATTCCTGATAACAGGCTTTTCATCCATTTCCTTCTTTATCCTTTATTTTAAGCACCAGCTTGGCTCGTTGGGATTAGGCTTGATGTAATGCTTCTCTTACAGCACATCCCAGGAGTTAGATGTGCACACTATGCTTGTAATCTCCACTGCTCCTCCTGCATGCCAATCAGAAACACTTTCTCCTTTTTAATTCATGATCTGTGATGCAAATTAGGGAAGAGGCCAGGAAAACATATAAAAGAAACCCAGGAGTGGGGCTGAGGGCTGGGCACTCAAGGGACAGATGACGCATCTTACACAGACTGGGCTTCATCTGCTACCAAGGGAGAGAAAACAAGGAGGGTTTTCAGGCTGCATTAACAGCCTTCCCAGGGCTGAACTGTTTGGGTTTCCCAGGGCTGAATGTTTCCTTGAAACATTCCAAGCACGTGGCATGCAGGAGTCCTTCCTCCCAGCATCACCATCGTCCCAGACAACCCTGAGCACACACCTCCAAATTTTCTCTTACCCAAGACTAACAAGTGAACTGGAAGAACCAAAATTAGCAAATGCTCGGCTGCTCTGCCTGAATTTCTCACCTCTCTCTGCTCAGCTCTTGGCTTATGAAGTCCCCCAGCATTCTGCAACCCGTTCTGCTAAGGGTCGCCACTGCAGGCTGGAACTTCTAGTTAGAAATGAGATGAGTTGCTGCTCCTCAAAGCACCTTCAGGCATGAGAAGGCACCTCACAGAGCAACGCACACCCTGAGGAAAGGGATGGATACACCAGAACCTCTCCCAGCAATGGGAGACTGCAAGGAATTAACAGTGAAGCCAGGAATATAATGAGTTTCCTAAGGACAAGAGGGGATTGATGCTCTAAGGACAAGAGGGAACTGAAAGGTGGCAAAGGGATTTTGATGAAAAATAGCTGGGGAAAAAAATTCCCTGAAAGTAATGTTTCTACTGAGAAACAGTGGATTATGGAGCAAGTTGGCAGTGTCAAAGCCTTCACAAATGAGCTCATCAGCTGAAGAAGAGCACTGAAAGCAGCAGGAAGAGATTGCACCACTCCCTGCAAAGCCTGGCTGCTCTGGTTTCCATCACTGGGTTCATCTTGGAGGGGTTGTTTTTGCCATATGAATTCAGCCAGCACAGATCTTTCTGATTCCTGGCATCACAGCTGCTTTCTACCACACGCGCTCAGTGACGTGCTAAGGTACATAATCAAGTCTGTCAGTAAACCCTCTGTAGTTACACACCAACTGCCCACTGATCACCTTAATGCAGTGCAAACTCGAGGCAGCCAGCAGCTGCCCATAATGAGCGCTCTGCAATGCATCCAAGAGAAAAAGCAAACCTTCACTTACTGTCTAACGAGAGGATGATTATCCCATTTCTGCATAATCACTGTGGGATCAAACTGCCACTGTGGAGAAAGGCAGTGCTCTATCTGATGGCAAAAATAAAGAAAAAAAGAGCAGGGGGATTCTGAGGGCAGAATCCCTGCCAAAGCAGAGCAACCTCGCAGCCTGCCAGGGGCCAAGCAGCAGGCATGGCTCTCCCCAGGGTGATCAGCATTAATGAGATGAGTCAGTGTTAATGGCAGGCAGTAATTTCTCCTCATTCAGGAACACCGAAAGTCACAACAGTGGTTTCAAACCCAGGCAGACAGGTGATGCGTCCCAGTTTTGGCTGGAATAGGGTTAATTTTCTTCTTAGCAGATTGCATAGTGCTGCGCTTTGGATTTAGGATGAGGACAGCTTTGATAACGTGCTGATGTTTTAGTTACTGCTGAGCAGTGCTTATGCTAAACAAAGAACTCAGGTTCTCATGATGTGACAGAGGGGACAGGGGCTGAGGGGACAGAACCAGGACAGCTGACCTGAACTGAACAGAAAAAGAGACCAGAAAAAGGGCACAAACATTCTGCCTACGGAGGCAACTCTTGTCAGCCACGAAGGGGAGACATCACTTCAAGGAAGACCTGCTGTGTTTCCCAAACAAATGAATACCTGCGGAGAAAGGTGCCTGGTGCCAGAGGGAATTAGCTGTTCTGGAGGAGATGTGTGATTTTGACCTGGTCAATGAGCAGCCATCCCAAGATTCAGATGCCTACCAGCCCAACTCACTGGCACCAACGGCCTGGAAACACAGAGAGAAGCCAAAGGTGGATGACACAGCTGTCATGCCTCAACCACACGAAGAAAATCTCCCTTCCTCCCTCTGGGTCTGTGTGTTGGCTGTGGACAAACACTCCCAAGAGCTTCAGCAACTCAGAGAGAATCTATCTTCCTTCCCACCAGTACAGAGCAGTAGCTCATCCATTAGAAGTAAGAATTCCTCTGCTTGAAAAAGGATATAGTGAGTACGCACCGTGATGCTTACTAATTTCCTTCCTTTTCTGTCCTGTTAAACTGTTTTTAACTCAACCCATAGGTTTTACCTTTTGTTTCCGCTCTCCCCATCCTACTGAGGCGGGAGGAAACACTGACTGCATTCAGACATGGAAAAACAGAATGCTCCCATTTGAAATAAAATTGAAAACAGAGCTACTTCACCTCTGACAAGCAGCCAGGACGATGAATGGTGTTAAATCTGATGGTATAAAAGCAGCCAGGAGGCCTGTGGCATGCTGGCTGTCACATACCTTCTGCCTCTCATCACATAAGCACAAATATCCAATGCCTGGCAGATGCAATGCAGAGAAAATAAAAAAACAGAGCTACCTGCAGGGTAACAGACCTCTTTCGCTTATTTTCTTGGAGTGTAGACCAGGTCTCCAGCAGCTCTGGGAGATGATGAAACCCTCAAGGGGAAAATGGGAGGTAATGCAATGGGCTGTAATGGGCTCACAGCAGTGCTCCATAGGAAGCTCCAGCCCAACACACAACTCTCCAACCTCTGGGCAATTGGCTCCATGCTTGGTTTCAAGCCACTCTGGTTTATCCTACACTCCTTTGCTGATTTTCCCACCTATATTTATTTAGTTTCATTACAGAAAAGGGCTGGAGAGGATCCAATGTTGTTCTTTTCTCTGTTGAACCAATTCCCTGCAGGCTGGACAGAAAACCACATCACCTCCCCTTCCAAGTCTCCTCGGTCCTTCCCAGTGAATTATTCTGAATGCTTCACCATGGGAGGTGCTACGTTTTCAAGGCCTTCACTCAAAGCAACACGACGTGTCTGCACAGTAATTACTATTGAGTGCATTTGGCTGCAGCAAAACAGCCCCCCGTCACGTCTGGTTAATGAGATGGGAGAGCTGCTGGATGGACACAGTCACTGCGTGCACCTCCAGAACTGGGTCAGGGGGCTGGAAAGGCTGTGAGATCCGTGTGGATTCAACAGAGCAATGGCCAGCACAGGGACTTCCCTGGGGTCCACAGGGAGCACACACATCCCTGGTTAAAGGCAGGCTGGGTCAGAGCCATTCCAAATCACCTTTTTGCAGCTACTTCTCAGTTAATGAGGAATTACTGAGACTCTTCTTGCTCGCAGGCTGGACCAGCCACACACTGCTGTGTAACCCACAGACTGCCCTGTCTCTCTGTGCACCCATCCATCAGTGCATGGCATTGCACATCCCCTCGCTAATCTGCATTTGCAAAGCACAGCCAAGAGCTACGGTCAGGCAGCTTGGAATTAAAACAAAACAGCACTTCTTCCTCATCCTTACGGCTGCTTTAAGGCATTTCCAGGAAAGCAAACCTCAGATCCGTGCAGGAAACAAAACCCCAGTGACAGGGGGTGGTGATGAATCTCTCACTCACACTCAGAGGTGAGCACAAGTCTTCTGGCACCGTGAGACCATGCAGTTCTCCAGCTCCAGGAGTGAGAGCTGCCCTCCCATGAGCTCACCGATAGAACAAACAAATCAATAAGGGGCGAGGGAGGCATTTTCAAGCTTTGTTTGCAACCCTATTTACTCTTCAACCTGCCCAGGAACACCAGAGATATTTGTGTATTCAATTACTCTGAAACAATTAGGCACGCATGTCACTACACACACCCAGGCAGCACGAGTGCATGGGGCAAAGATGATTAATTAGCTGCCAGGAGGAAATACCTGTAAATACCATGGACTGGATTATGCAAGGTTAACCCTAGGAAGGTGCCAAGCTCACACGGAATTTGTTAACCAGGGGTGCACAGAGCTCTGGTGGGGGGATTTCCTGCTGATTCCCCAGGCCTCAACACATGCTTACACCTTCCAGCTGTAGAAGCCTCACCCCATCACACCTGCCTCAATGATTTGAAATTGCTTAACGATAAGAGTTACTTTTCCTCTCAAAATAACCAGCCTGGTCCAAATAACCACCGCTGCCACATCCACACCAATGGGTTCTGCCAGCTGCTCCAGCCCCATCCCCATCAAAGCACGTGAAGCGAATACAACAGCACTGCTGCCCGGTGACCCTTTGAGTGATCAAAGTGTTAAATCTGTGTTTGCTGAGTGCTTTGAAACACTGCTCGCTGCCACAGGGCATTTCCAGGAGCTGCTCTGGGGGTGGGCGGTCCGAGGACGGTGCTCTTAAACGCATCAAAAGCTGCAGTTTTCCCTACTATGGACCATCTGGGATCCTTTTTTTCTTTTTTGCTGATGTAAGAGGGACTCTGCGAAACACACAGCACAGCACCAGGTTTTATAGTAGAGATTTGATTCCTGGAAGGAGGAAATTTGGACACTGGAACATGAAAATTGAACCCATGGGGGTGTCACCGTGGGGAACAACAGCAGGAAAAACAGCAAAGCAACCCGAGCACCTACCGAGAAGAGAGTGGCATAGGTGGACAAAGCGAATTTGACGCTGTAGTAATAGAGGAGGGAGTTTCGGCACTCGGAGCCCTGTGCCATCCCGGGGCGGCCGCTCGCTGCCTGCCAGACCCTCCCCGCTCCGGCTGCTGGGGAGCGCAGACATGCGCCCGATGCTGCTGCACGCACCACCAGCCTTCAACTTGAACTGCTTCCTCCTGGCAGGGACCCAGCCTGAAAGAGGGAAGGCAGAAACGCGAACAGCCGGAGTTAACCCTTTGCTGCGCCTGCTGCTCGCCTTTGTTGCCGAGATCGACGGCGGAGCTCCGTGCGGGAAGGTTTAATTCGGTGGACGTTCTGCAGGGGTCTCCAGAAAATTGTTAGTGGGGTTGCAGGCAGGATCTCTTGGCATTCCAGGAGTGCTGGCAGAGCTGGGGGTGATCCTGCAGTGATGTGTCTTGCAGCAGCAGAGAGAGAGCGGCAGCTCCAAATGGAACAGAAATGGAGCAGATTTCCGCCAGGCGATCGTTTGGAGCTCGGTGCTGGAGAACAAAGTCCGTGTTTGCCTGCTGCAGATGGGGCAGAGCCTCTGCCTCAGCGCTGCCTCGAGCCTGCAGCTGCCTGGGTAGGAACATGGAAACAGAAGAGGAGGTGTGTGGAGCGGGCAAGCAGCAGCGTGAGACCATACAGGAGGGGTCTCCATATCAGCCTCCACAACATGGCTGTGAAAATGGAAAACGGGAGAGAAGATTCATGTTTAACAAAAAGAGGAAAAGTGAGGCCGGAGGAGCTGGGAAATGGATTAAGGAAATGGTGGACGGATTAAGGGAAATGCAGCCACTGCTGTGATGTTGCTTCCTTGATGCTGGGAAGCGCTTGGGATCACCAGCAAAGGGAAAAACCTTCATTTCTGCAGTGTGCTGCAGTTTGGAGAAGTAAAGAAAAAAGCACTGCTGTCCACTGCACGGTTCATTGCCCTGGGAAATGTTTTAAAAAGCCCCATCAGTTGATGGGAAGGCAGCAGAGGTGCAGTGCTTCTCTCTTGCAGAGAGAAAAGGAGAATTACAGTGAGGTTTGGAGAAGTGCTGTGACTCAGGGCTGCACCCAAATGCTCGGCCCCATATTTACCCATCTGTGGTGCTAGAGTTTCTCACATCAGGTCTTAGGAGATGAAGAGCAATTCAGCACAGCAAAAGAGCATACCCCACAGCCCTTTTGGTCACCATCCTGCTTTCACTGGTTGTTATACAAGGACAGAGTGGGCTGGCTTTGGCGGTGCGTTGTCTCCCCTGATGGGATGGGCCATAGAATCACAGAATCAAGGTTGGAAAAGATGTCTAAGCTGCCCAAGTCCAACCCCAACCCATCCCATGGCTCTGTGTAGCTGTGCCAATGCATCGCCACTCTCTTAGAGAAGCATTTCCTAATACCCAACCTCAACCTCCCCAGCACAACCTGAGGCCTTTCTTACTGTTGTTACCTGGCAGAAGAGGGAGGCCATTGGCTTCAGTCACTCATCAGCCCATCCAGATCCCTCTGCAGCACTTTCCTGCCCTCACACAGGCCAACCCTTTCTCCCAACATTGTGTCATCTGCAAACTTTGATGCAAGGTTTCTAAAACAATGGCATTTGGTTAATGCTTTATTTAACATCTTAAAGCCTGAAGCTCTCGAGCTGCACGTGGAAGCCATTCTTATTTCTTGGGCAGTGCGTACACCAAGCTGCCGGCTTCCAAATTAAATCACTGCATTCTGTAAGCCCAAGCTACATTTAACCCTCAGCTCCCCCCTAACATGTAGCCCTTCCCCACGCCGAGTCGTCTCAGCTTTGCTGTCCCCCTCCTGTAGCATATGAAATCATTTAACAGATGCACCAGCAAATGAAAAGACTTTCCATGGTGCAATTGCATCGCTTGAATGACAGCTTGGCCTGCATTTTCCCAGGCAGGCAGCAATTAAAGTGGAAATGTTAATCTGTGCTGCTGCAAACCACGGCGCAGCTGGCTCAATACCATCGTGAGCAGCCATCAAGAATAAAGTGAGCAGTGGGGATGGGAGGAGAAATCGTTCTGAGGAGTTAAGGTAATAAGCAAGCAGCGCTGGGTGGTGATGAACAGGAATAAAACCGAAGCATTAATGTGCAATTTTCTGATTTGTAAAACTCTGATTACAGGAGGAGGGCGAAGCCTGGGGCTGGGGGATGCCAGGCTCAGCATCATGCTGTGCCCATGCCAATGGCACAGAGATGTGCAGCAGAAGCATTTCTGGCTCCTAGGATTCAATTGCACTTGAGCATCCTCCTGGCTCAGCCAGTTCTGTAGAGCATCACCTCTAATTGCACAGCACAGAGCTGTCCTTCACAAACCTGCGTTCTCCCCTTGAGAACCAAGCAATGCTCTCAGCCTTAGCAGCCTGAAGCCCTGCAAGGAAAGCAGAGAGGGCAGGAGTGCATCACATTTACCATGTCTGCAAGGTTCACGTGTGCCAGGAGTTTCTGCCTTTTCCCTGCAGCTCCTAAAGGTCCCATTCACTGTGTTCACTTTTCCCTGTTGTTCTCCTTATTTTTAGCCATCTTTGTGCTCAAAGCCCCAAAGACTCTGCTCCAAAGCCTGAAGTCGCTGACGTTCTCCCTCTTCATTAAAACACCTGGCTAATTAACCCACATATAAATCAAATCATAAACTCATTACACAGGTTCCCTGCGCTAGGGATAACTAAGAACTTAAAACAGTCCTTCTGTCTCTCAATCCCACCACGTGTTGAGGGTCCAGAAACACTGATGGAGGCCCTGCTGTGGCTTTCCTACTGTCCCTAATTCTCATTCTTGTGCTCAGATTTGGTCTCTTCCATTGGTGTTTCATGCCTGGCCCTGACACACCAGCCTAAATACGCTAAATAACAAAGCCATGGGACTGCAGAATTGACCCAGCAGCTTAGGGTTGGGAGCGGAGGAGGAATTCTGCCGCTCCTTTTTCCAAAGGACTCCAATGGATTTAGTTTTTAGAGGATTATCCTGAGCACATATACTCCGTGTTGTTGCTTTTTCCCTTATTTGTGCATATTTTCTTTTTTAAAAATCAAAAATCTTCCTGGAAGGTCCTCGAGCTTGTTATGATCACCCAGCACAGAGCCAATGCAATCAGGCAGCTGTAATTTGAACCGTAGCAAACATCCCTCCTGTGGTTTGCTTGCATTTTGGAAGGGAAAGTTTCCATGTGGGGATTGAATGTGCCATCACAACAGAAGGCAATGGGTGGGAGAGACCCTGTGTCTCATTCAGCAATGCATCACTGCTGCTGTCACAGAACTATTTGGCAGTTTAGGTGCTCAGCACACCGTTAAACCACCAACACACAGCCTGGGAACCAGAGAAATTGCTGCTGCCTCATGCTCAGCTGCACGCAGGAGACACACAAGCTCTTCCCAGACTCCAACCTGTGCCAACACACTCCAGCCCTACAGCAATAGAGAAAACCAAAGCCTCAAACGCAATAACAGCTTTCAATTTGCAGAAGTTATACATGGCTCAAGCACCAGTGCAGCTTCTGTTCTTTCCCAACCATGCAATCCAAAGTCAGAGCCCTGGTGATAGGCAAGCATCCCCGAGCCCTGCTGTACAACCTGTGATGCTATGATTTGATGATCCCAACTCTGCTCCCACCCCCAGGCCTCCAAGAAGTTAAGAACCTGAGCAGAGTCCTCTTGCTCCCAACCCCTCCCAATTTCACACTGCACTTGTAGCAAACATCAGACTCTTTAACATACCTCAGAGGAGCATCTGAAGCCACCAGAAGCAAATGTGATTAATGGGGAGGAAGAAAAGTCCCCACCCTGGGTTGACTTAAAAGCTAAAAAGCCAAACTTCAGCCCGAGCTCTGCACTGCAGCGTTAAGCACTCTGATCAGCCACCCTGTAAGGAGAAAAGCCATCATGTCATGGTAGAAAACTATCCTAGCCACAAGTAGGAGCAGATTTTGGTGTGACACCATCTCTCCAAGCTTGCAATTTATCTCCATTCATCTACAAAGCAGCCCGAAGCCAGGTGCCACCAACTCCTAGCAGTGTCAGGGTCTGTTTGTTGGTTATCCCATGGAGGAAAAAGATTTACAACCCTGCACCAGATCCCTGGAGGAAAAGCCACCAGTCACACAAATTTGCCATTATAAAACCATTTTGCACGCAGCATCAACAGCATGATTTAGCCTACTGACAACCATCTGCCCCCATGAAACATCTGCAACTTCTGCACCCAATGGAAAAGGTGGGACTGCAAGAGCTGCATCGCCTTCCCAACCCCACAACACTTCAGTTTCCCCCCAGATCTGAAATTCAGAACACAGAGGTCCTGCAGATGGGATTGGGGTGGCCAGGGGGATGGAGCAGTTTGCTGGTGGAGCTTCAGAACCATTTGCAAATTGAGGCAAAACCAGTGAGCACAAGGCCAAGCGCCCACATGGCCTTCCCATCAATGCTCCCCACTGCAGCCCACTATAGGTCAATAGTGCCCATGCCAAGAGCTGCCTCCTCCACTGCAGCACCGCCAGTGAAAGCACTGATGGTTTAAACCCCCCCCAGTGCTCACTTCAACCAAGAGACACCAACTCCCCTAAGCCTCCACACAAATACACTGAGCAGATGCTAAGCCACACTGAGAATAGATAGAATAGATCCCCAGGAACAAAAATTGCTTCTAGATAGATAAACACTGCTCAGTGTCCAACAACAAAGCATTTTCCTTTGAGGTGTGCAATCAGAGGCGCAGCACCCAGTGAGCTCCAATTGCTGTCAGTAGTCAGCCAGCAAAACCAGTGTGATGCCGCACATGATGCTGAGGTTTGGCATTGGTTGTAGTGCTGGAACAGGGGCCAGATCCCTTCCCTTTGTTGTGACAGTTTACCATAAATGTATGTTTTCCAGCATCGGTCTCAGCTTGAACTCACAGCACAAATGACTCATTTCTGCTGCAGGAAAAGCGGAGTTTGCAGGGAGGAACCTCAGTTAGACAACAACTGAGGAAAAAAAAACAACCCAACACAACAAAGAATCACATATAAATAAAGGAAATCAAGGAGCCAAGGGCAGAGTGACGCCGCCAGCCCCATACAGCACAGCTCAGGGCCATGCCAAACACCAGCACAACCCCCACCACCACTTCTGAGTGGGAGACACCAGCTGACAACTGGATCTACCTACAAATCAACTCCTGCAGCCCCTTTCGTTGCTCCTCCAATCCCTACCCATCCCAGTGGCTTTCCCTGTGCTCAACACCCAGCGAAGTCATGAGGGCCTTTTCCATCTCTTGTCTTCAGGAGCTTTATCCATCCTGACGGCTGCTGGAGCTGCTCACAATACAGTTATCTAATCAAGCCCTTCCTTCAGCAGCGTCTGGTGAGGGAACAGCAGCAAAGCCTGCACGGCACTGGGAGGATTCTGCCTGGGCGCTGCCCTCGGTTTGCTTCCAGCCCAGGAGAAACATGACTGGAAATCGAAACCCACAGATTGGCATCATCTCCATCTCAAGGGACTGGGAT